AAAGAAAAAATCTCTCTGCACCTCGACCTCCCAACGTTTATATGATGATTATGGTGGAAATTCAAAGATGAGGGGGAAATTTGAGAAGTCCTGACGTTCATTCTAACCGCTGCTAAAAGACGATGCAGAGTGTAAAAAGGGAGCCACTGGCATTACTGGGTATAGTTATTAAGTGGAAAAAGTGAAAACTGCTTCGCGGGTGTAACAGAGACATTAGAGAGAGATGGAGAAAAACATTTTACTAACTACTTTACACCCCTGACAAAACTTTTTTATACTTAATTTGACATTTTAGCTTAATTACTTAAGCTCTGTCACCACTGTTGCACGGGTGCTTTTAGCTGCTTTCAGCTGCTCCCTTATTTCCCAAGGGATCAACACAGCTGGGTTTAGGTCTCCTCCTGGCCTCCAGCTGGGGATGTTTCATGCATTAAAACAACTGTGTTAACCACTACACCTCAGAGCCACTGTCAACTAGGGGGCCAAGTCCTGTTGATTCTCTCTCGCTCCTTTTATAACTGACATAATTTACTTTTCCCAAATCTTGTCCTTTTCCCCCCCTACCTCTTAAAACAGCTTTGATAAGTTCGACTCTTAAGAAGACCCTTTCAACCAAAATAATTACCATACATTACTCTTCTTTCAAAAACAAACAAACAAAAAAGAATGTTGCTCTGCAGAGTTATTCATACCCTACTAACAATCATCTCACAATTTCAGTCTGGTTTTCGGCCAGTTCACAGTACAGAGGCACTCCTGGTCAAGATCACAAATGATCTTCTGATGGCAGCCGACTCTGGGTTGCTTCTTGATCTGAGTTCTGCCTTTTGATACAATCTCTCATGATATTCTTTTAAAGAGATTAAAGTCTGGTCAAGTCTGTTGTAAGTCTGTAAAGCATGTATAGTGAAAACTTTTCAATTCACAACCTTGCCCAGTTGTTAGTGGTGTAACAACTGGGCAACTAAAACTTTTTTTGAACAAATGTGCTAAGCTCGCTCTGTGCGTTGCCACTTCTCAAATCGTTCCTCCTTCCCAGATCAAGAGCTTAGTTGCTGTTTTCCATAATGCCTTAAATTTTGAAACGCACATCAATAATATCACTCAGCCTGCATATTTCTACCAATGTGATATTGGTCGGCTTCATACATCCTGTACATCAGTACTGATTTTCTTGGACGTGCTCTGGTTATATATCATATTTATTAAAGTAAAAATCTTAAACTTCTCTATAGGGTTCAGCTGTTCATAGCCAGAACTCCTTCCATAGAACGTATTACTCATTTCCTTCAGCAGCTGCATTAATTTTAAGATTTTTGCTTCTTACTTTCAACTCTCTCCACAATCTCGCACCTTCATTTTTCTCTCACTTTCTGCACATTGCCATTCCTTCCTGTACTCTCCTCTGTTACTCTTATTATACCAGCTGCCTGGCTGTCCACCTTGGGCTTTTGAGCTTTCTACCAAAAAGCTTTCCGCCTTCTTTCGAGCTCTCTCCTGCACCACATTTGCAACATTGATCCTGTCCCTGTCTTTAAAGCCAGCCTGAAAACATCTCTGAAAACATGTCTATGCTGTTTGATTTTGGTGTGTTGTGAATTTTAATTCTATGCTGTCTTGCAGCTGTTATTTTATCCATACTGTGGTTTTGTTCATTGCTCGTAAGTTGTCCTCGACCATCTTGAAAGGTACCAAATGTAATATTAGAGGTGAAAATTTAACAGAATATTTCAATAAAATTTGCAGCATTTCTGACAGTTCAGGAAAAAAAAATACTGAACATCAGTGACTGCAGCTTGCAGACAGCAGCATTTATTAGTGCAAACAAAATGAACGCATTTTCCATCCTTCTGTTCTCCAGTGAGCTCATGGATCATAGACGCCCTGATTCAAAATTGGAATCTGTTGCCACAAGGTGCCAGCAGCAGTAATATAGTGCAATATTAGAGATACAGGTATACATACAAAGCATAAGCACAAAAGTATCCCAGGTAGTCTTTTCCACTGAAATGCTCAACATTTCAACAGTAACAATAACTCAAGTAATTTAACCTTGTAACTCTTCAGGACCCTGCACTATGCTTGCACATAATAAAATTGAAATGGAAAATCCCTAACCTGTAACCTCTAACCCTAACCCATCAAACATTTGCTCTTTTGTTGGAGGTTGTTAATGTTCACTATTTACTAAATCATCATTGGAGGCTGACACGCTGCTCTCGTTGTTGGGCATGCCTGGGCTTTAAACACTGTTCTGCACTGTGCCATTGATATTATGATATGACAGTTGTATGTCACAGAAAAATTTACTGATATTATTCCTACCATCACTGTTGTTATACTACGCCATTATGCTTGTGATTAAACCATAGACGGCAGATTTAAGTTGTTAGTTAATGAGTGGTTTCATAGTGACATTTGACCCTCGTAGTCACATCTAGTTCTTTAAAACCAAGATGGCGAAAGTATAATTGCTTCACAACAAGCCTCCAGAAACCCATGGATGATGTTACAGTACAGGGTGGGCCATTTATATGGATACACCGTAATAACATGGGAATGGTTGGTGATATTAAAGTCCTGTTTAAACATTGTGAGTTGTAAATCCATCTTGAGGAGTTTGTCCCCTCACATATACTAATGTGCCACAAACAGGACTTTAATATCACCAACCATTCCCATGTTATTACGGTGTATCCATATAAATGGCCCACCCTGTACTTAGCTTCTATATTGTCTGCGGATTAAACATCAAATCCACCTTAAATGCCATATTAAGCAGTTAATGAGTAAATTATTACCAACAGTCCATTCTCTTATTCCAGATTGAATAATTACCTGCACAGACAGATGCCAGAAACTATCATTTCTTATTAAGAATGAGAAATTATTGTTGTTGTCTCATGCTTTCTTGCTTTGTGGTAGATCTTTGTTCTGTCTTCACTGAGATATTTGAATGCTAATCAATCAAATCACATCAAGAAATTATGTTTTTTTTGTTTTTGTTTTTTTGTTTGTTTCAGAACCTTCACAGTGGCATGTGGAGTGGATGGTGTTCAAAAGTCATGAGTTCTGTTTAGAAGCCAGGGGACTGGAAGCCAATATGAAGAAAAATGGCTTAAAGGGATGTTGGCCTTTAAGGAAAGGGAGCTTTGTATGAGAGAGTGAGGCTGACAGGCTTTACTAAGGAAAAGTAATATGGAGCACAGCAGGTTCACTCTAATTAAACTGCTTATATACAAGTAAAACGACCTATAGCCGCTTAAAAATAAGCATACAGTTGGTTTAACAGAAAATGTCTATTTTTTTTCTGCTCAGAAGTGATTAGCATCGTATAACTAGCGCATAGGTTTAACCTGTGCATGCAACAAAATGTTTCCTTGTAGATTATATTCTCAAGTAAACAATTCGCAATCAGATGAAATAAAGAAGAGCCGAAAAACCCTCACGTTTGAGAAGACGGTGCAAAAAAAATGTCACTTTAGAAAGTGTTAAACTGCAGAAAAGTAGAGTCTATCAATAATCTGAAGACATGGGATGGTGAGCTAACAGAAAATTGTAGTTCACAAACTTTGACTAATTTTTACCCAAATTGCAGAATTGAAGTCAGAATATAATCACATAGGAGTTGAACAGAGGAGCTTGTGATTTGATGGATTGCAATCGGGGATTTAGAAAGTGGAAACAATTTGAGACTTGTGTGTTAACATCGTGGTTTCCAATACATGCTGAGATGGCTGCTGCTCGCCAAAGCCTCACAGTATAAGCGGATTACTGAGTGGATGTATTTTGTTTTCTTTCTTTTGTTGCTTGTTATCTTTATTTTTTTTTGTATTTGCTGCCAGTCCTCTTTCTTTTATTTTCTTTCCCCCCCCTTTTTTTCTTCATTGAAGCACTTTTGGGTTTTTTAGCAGGATTGTCAGCAAACAATTTGCTAAAGGTGATTTTGCATTTGTTTGTTTTGTTTTTTTTGTGTGACAGATGTCTCATTTCCTTTGATATAAAGGTGTCCAAGGGTTCTTTGGTATAAAATGAACAAACAAAACAAAGCAGAAAAATAAAAATTGGTTTGGAAGGTTTGATTAAAAATGTCATGGACCAGATTCACCACCGCAAACAATAACAGAGGCATTAGCTGACATGCCCTTTTTAGACTTTGGAAACAAACTGTTCTCCCTGAACATCTTGATTTTCTGATAATATCTGACCCTCCCACTGTGACAAAGTAATTCCATCCTTTTCTTCAGCACTTTCCTGCCTCTTTCTCTCTTGTTTTTTGTTATCTGTGGCAGTAATTTGTTGTTACTGACACACTCACTAATTAGCTCTGATGGAGCAAACTGCAGCTGCTGACAGCCGTCTGATTGGAGAATGGTTTTCATGGAAAATTCTCTTTCCTCTCCACCCTGTAATCACACCCAGCTTTACAAGCAAAATACTTTGTGACCCTCTGCCTTTGTCCAGGAAACAAACCCACACAATGGCTGAGAAGTCAGAATGAATGTGTATGAAGTTGCTTAGATTTGTACTCTAGGATAGCCTAACAAAATACTATATAGATTTCACAAATGGGTACTTACTTATTTATGGTTTTGTTGTCATTCTTGAATGATTAAGATGCTGAAATGTTATTTTACAAACCATCATATTTTTTTGTATTTTCCTTACTACTTTTTCCCCCACAAGGTTTTAGATCAGGCCTTTAAAGTCATATTTCAAAATTGGGGGTTAACTGTTTTCCACAAGGGTGACCACTTGTTTGGGTAAGGAGGGGATAGTGGTGAGCTGCACATATTTTATTGTTCTGTTGTTGTGTCTTCCATCGGTCCATCCATTCATTCTCTTCCTCTATGTGCAGTACCCACAATCCCACACTGAAATTCAAATCCTGAAAATACTGGGCTATTGAATATTTCCTAAAACCTGAACCAAATCTAATCTTGTCCTACTCCTCCTTTCCTTCCCTCCCTTTTCCTCTGTCTCTCTCTCTCTCCATACAGTGTTGCATAGACAACTATGAGGAGATGGTGAAGCTCTTGTTGGACCGAGGAGCCAGTGTTAACGCTCAGGACAACGAACTGTGGACGCCGCTGCATGCTGCTGCTACCTGTGGCCACGCAGGACTTGTTAAGATACTCATCGCACAGTAAGTCATAAAGATATGATACATCATGATTTCCTGCAGCACAGCCCTTATCTTGTCTGAGATAAAGACCAGCACCACGAAAGTCTAAATATGTTCTTATGAAATCTAATATTTAACTCATTATGCTTCAGGAAAATTGAGTAATGGCACTGCCTTAGGCTGTAAAAGGTCATGTATGCAGTGAGGAATACAGGGAGTGCAGAATTATTAGGCAAATGAGTATTTTGTCCACATCATCCTCTTCATGCATGTTGTCTTACTCCAAGCTGTATAGGCTCGAAAGCTTACTACCAATTAAGCATATTAGGTGATGTGCATCTCTGTAATGAGAAGGGGTGTGGTCTAATGACATCAACACCCTATATCAGGTGTGCATAATTATTAGGCAACGTCCTTTCGTTTGGAAAAATGGGTCAAAAGAAGGACTTGACAGGCTCAGAAAAGTCAAAAATAGTGAGATATCTTGCAGAGGGATGCAGCAGTCTCAAAATTGAAAAGCTTCTGAAGCGTGATCATCGAACAATCAAGCGTTTCATTCAAAATAGTCAACAGGGTCGCAAGAAGCGTGTGGAAAAACCAAGGCGCAAAATAACTGCCCATGAACTGAGAAAAGTCAAGCGTGCAGCTGCCAAGATGCCACTTGCCACCAGTTTGGCCATATTTCAGAGCTGCAACATCACTGGAGTGCCCAAAAGCACAAGGTGTGCAATACTCAGAGACATGGCCAAGGTAAGAAAGGCTGAAAGACGACCACCACTGAACAAGACACACAAGCTGAAACGTCAAGACTGGGCCAAGAAATATCTCAAGACTGATTTTTCTAAGGTTTTATGGACTGATGAAATGAGAGTGAGTCTTGATGGGCCAGATGGATGGGCCCGTGGCTGGATTGGTAAAGGGCAGAGAGCTCCAGTCCGACTCAGACGCCAGCAAGGTGGAGGTGGAGTACTGGTTTGGGCTGGTATCATCAAAGATGAGCTTGTGGGGCCTTTTCGGGTTGAGGATGGAGTCAAGCTCAACTCCCAGTCCTACTGCCAGTTTCTGGAAGACACCTTCTTCAAGCAGTGGTACAGGAAGAAGTCTGCATCCTTCAAGAAAAACATGATTTTCATGCAGGACAATGCTCCATCACACGCGTCCAAGTACTCCACAGCGTGGCTGGCAAGAAAGGGTATAAAAGAAGAAAAACTAATGACATGGCCTCCTTGTTCACCTGATCTGAACCCCATTGAGAACCTGTGGTCCATCATCAAATGTGAGATTTACAAGGAGGGAAAACAGTACACCTCTCTGAACAGTGTCTGGGAGGCTGTGGTTGCTGCTGCACGCAATGTTGATGGTGAACAGATCAAAACACTGACAGAATCCATGGATGGCAGGCTTTTGAGTGTCCTTGCAAAGAAAGGTGGCTATATTGGTCGCTGATTTGTTTTTGTTTTGTTTTTGAATGTCAGAAATGTATATTTGTGAATGTGGAGATGTTATATTGGTTTCACTGGTAAAAATAAATAATTGAAATGGGTATATATTTGTTTTTTATTAAGTTGCCTAATAATTATGCACAGTAATAGTCACCTGCACACACAGATATCCCCCTAAAATAGCTAAAACTAAAAACAAACTAAAAACTACTTCCAAAAACATTCAGCTTTGATATTAATGAGTTTTTTGGGTTCATTGAGAACATGGTTGTTGTTCAATAATAAAATTATTCCTCAAAAATACAACTTGCCTAATAATTCTGCACTCCCTGTAGTAGCTCTGTAACAATATGACATCAGGTTTTTGCTGGATTCAGCTCAACATGTCAGTTCTGGGTAAATATTGAGATCAGCACGTCACAGCATTAAAACAACAAAAATAAACAAACCGAACAGTTGCAGTTCGAGACTGAATGCACCAAAATGTAGTTAATTTGTTAACTATTAGTCATAAAGTTTAAAAGACGTGCTTCATTTCTACTAAACTTCACTTGCATTATTGCAGTTCATGAGAAGAGGCTTACAGTTATGATATAGTGACAAGATATAAAGATTTCTGTGAACATCAGATGTATGAATAGCTCTACAGGCCACAGAATAAACAATACAATTTGATTTTGTGGTGGGTCTGTTATGGTTTCCCATATTATTGTTCATTTTGTTGTGATAGTGGGCTCATACTAAGGGACAGATTTTCCCGAGGAGGCTTGAAACGCTGTTTCTAACTTTTTTTTGGGTGCTCCTGGATCTGTATGATGTTATAAAGAGAGGATTTTAATATGGAAGCCCCTCCCACCTGCTTTTCAGCTCTTCTGTTTGTAAAGGACAGCCAATCAGAAGACCTGGCTTAAAGAGCCCCAAGCTAAAAAGTTTGCTAAGGGGCCAGTATAAGATAAATCATGGTTATTTTAAACCATAATGAATCCACTTTAGGTTGAAAGTTTAAATTGACCAGCAGTATAATGAATGGCTGTGATGGTTTCCCAGGCAAAAACATGTGCTTACATGATACTCTAAACTTAATAGCATGGCATGTTGTTGCCATGCTGTCAAATATACAGATATAACTGCAGCTACTGTCCCCAATGAGCCACAGACGCAGTTTGAGGAACCTGATTTTTTCTTGTCCAGACAGATTAGGTTTTTCTGTTCCAAAATCAACAGAAGCAACAATTAATGCTAATGCACCTAACAGCTGTGACAAATTATACAAAAAAAGAGTGAAAAACATCGTGGAAATGACACTATCCTGTACTAAAAATCAGTGTTATAATGATATTTGAAGATAAAGCAAACCCACTGAAGGTCAGTAAAGGATAATACTGAATTATTTCCAGCCGCAGGATGTGTAGTGGTTTAATAATGACAGAGACTGAATTATTATCCAACTTTGATATGCAGATGTTGTTAATAATTCAGTAACACTGACCCAAATTCCCATAGGGAAAAATGTCCTTGTTACTGTCTTTGACTGGATGCAAATACGTGTAAGAAGTATAGATGACTCATGAGTTCACACATTGTGGACATGTTTAATTAGGATTTAATTAGACTGAGTTTATTAGGCTTTAATTGCATCCTAATGAAGCAATAACAGCGACACATGTACACACAAAGAGACAAAACAGGCAAATTAACATACTGCACGTGTACACATTGGTATTGTTTCTGCTTGTTAACATGACGGGTTGAACTGCAGCCTGTATGCAGAGACTTACACACACACAAACACACTGCTGCCATCTGTTGACGTGCAGGACTCGTCAAAGCGACCGTGCTGTGACATGGATGAAGTTAAAAACTGCTGAATGAGGCAGTGTCATTTGTTCTGGGCTGAAAGACGTTAATTAGCTTCTTCAGTTAGTGCTGTGCAATGCACATTTGTTTTGTCATCCCCATCCAAGACTTTGAGTTATAGATTGTTAGTTTTCAGCATCTTTGTGTGTTACAGTAGGTCGGGACATGAAAACAGGGCGGCGTTACCCTGATGACTCAAGTTGTTTTGGTTATTTTTAAACTTTTGAGGATCACAGATGGTGCTATGAAATGTAATATATTGAACACTTTTTCTCATTGAGTCGTTAGCCCTGCATATTGTACATTCGGAGCATTTATTAACTCTGATTGGATTTGTTGAAATATTCATCCGCTCATTTCCCACAGTGGCGCAGATCTGCTGGCAGTCAACTCCGATGGGAACATGCCCTACGACCTGTGTGAAGATGATCCCACGCTGGACATCATTGAGACGGCCATGGCCAACAGAGGTAGAGAATAAATGCTTAAAGGGGAAGTTACTGACAGGAAGGTTAGACAGATGATAAAATCTTTTAGTAAGTTTAGAATCAGATTCAGTCTGTCTGCAGACTGTCAGACTGATAATTGAGAGAAGATTACATAGTTATGCGCAGGAGTAATGATGTTACACAAAGTACGTTTATGTTGGGATTATTCCAATTAAATGTAACTTTAACTTTACCAGCACATGTGAGTTTTTTTGTAAAACATTTCCTTTTTCTTTTTAGACTCCCAGTGAACAAGATATTTCCAGGAAAAACAACATTCACTTAGTTCAACCCGTTCATTTCCTTCCCTGGTTACATCTGTTCATTCCTAGTCGACAACTGTGTATTTTGCCAAAACGCCAGGAGACTTACCAGAAGAGGCTAGCTTGCTAACTCAGCCTCAGCTTCTTAGACTTATTGAAAACACAGCCTACCGCTACCTTACTTTAAAGCTTATGTTAGAAAAGTTAAAAGTTGTATCCAGTCTAAAAATCATTGTCTGGACAGCAAAGTTCATGTATTGCTGTATAGATCTGCTGTTTTAGTCTGAATAAAGCTGTGACAGGTTATGTGTGGAGTTTAAAGCAGGCAGGCACAGTTTAATCAGCTTCCTTGTACTTTAACACTTGGACTGTGTTGTTACTTTTTGTAAAGAGCAGTCGTTTAAGAGCCCAGGTCTAGCAAAAATTAGAGATGAGAAGGAAGGAAGATGCAAATCTTATTTTAACCTTTGCGGCTTGCAGCTTTTGGCAGTCTTAACGGTCATAAGAACAGATTGCTGAAGAAGATGGCATCGGAGTTGTGACCTGATATCACACGTAGTGTCAGGCACAGTTTTATGATTGACACTGTGAGGAGCTGAAAGTATTCACAGTTCTCTCTCTCTGTGCCAGCGGGGTGCAGATTAGGATACTGTATATTCATGCTGTGTCACTGTAAACAGCTGCAGATGCCACAGTTTGTCTCTGCGACATGAGTGAAAGAGAGTTCAAGGAGATCAGCGCTGACATAACTGCACATCAGTGATGAAGGAGGGGGAAACTCGTGCTGTTTGCATTTTTGTCTGTTTGTGCGGTGTGAAGAAAGACGCGTACAAAAGCTGTCGAAGCAACAGACAAATTTATTTACACTGGAGTAAAATCAAGCCTCTTAACACGAGCTGCTCTCAGTGTTTTGTTGTTGTTTTCTGGTAAATGGTTACATCCTCAAGCTGGCATGTGTTCTCACGGCTGGGAACAAAACAACAAAAACGAGCAGCAGGCGGTTTTCACTGTACTATTGTAGAACTGGCTGCTAAACTGTGGCTCATTTCAAATATCATTTTGCAAAATGCAATTAAAAAGATTGCAAAAAAATTTAATTAATTGCTTTCTGATTACAACATAGTTTAATGGTGTTGCCTTTGGGCCATAGACTAAAACAAAGACGTCACACAGACCTCCAGTTGTATTAGTAGTTATTAACCAGGAAACTGGGTACAGTTGGGTTTTTGGCTAACCCTAGTTATGGCTTTCTAGCTTGGTTAGTGTTACTAAGTCCTAACCACTTATGTCTGGTTAGCAAAGCTGGTGTGCCAGTATTATACACTTTCAAGGCCAGTCAGCATCCCCTGGCAACCCCTGGTTTGCTGGGAAAAATGTGGCAAGTGGTTGTGTCAGTTTGGTGGATACATGTTGTCATACCAAAAAGCTCCTGTTGCTTATTACAAGGTTTGCATAGAAGAGTTTCACTTGTCTGCAAACAAGTGTGATGCAAACCAAAACGGAGACTTTTTGCCTCCAAAGTAAAACTGGTGCTTTACCTTTGCATCTAAAACATATTTCAAAAAGTCCTACTTTTACTTTGAAGGTGAACAGTCCCCAGTTAGATTGCGTTGCGCTTTTCACAGTTTCACTGTCACTTGTCTTCCATGCAAACTACAGGCCACCATGGCAATATCTTAGTGACCAGAGCAATTAGTGCAGCCTACCTATTTGCAAGCAATTTCACGTAGCATCTGCTTGTCATGGGCAGTCATTGACTTAGTCCAGGGGTGCCCAATCCCGGTCCTCGAGAGCTACTATCCTGCAGCTTTTAGATGCATCCCTACTCCAACACAGCTGAATCAAATGGTTTGATCTCTTCAGCATGCCATCATGTTTGGCAAAGGCCTGATAACAAGCCATTCATTTGATTCAGGTGTGTGGGAACAAGGATGCATCTAAAAGCTGCAGGACGGTAGCTCTCGAGGACCGGGATTGGGCACCCCTGACTTAGTCAGACCCTAGGTATGTGTGGCTAGTCTTAACTAACTATGGTTGTGTTAAAACCAAACTCAGCCAATGAAAAGACTGAACTGTGATTTTTGGGGCCAGCATGACACGACTGTTGACTGAACTGCAGTTTTTTTTCTGCTTCTGCATTGATTTTGTTTTTATGGAAGATGCTGTTTGCTTTGGACAGAACAAACTTTCTGTTTTTCCTGTACAGAAGCAGTCTAGCAGGCTGTAGCTTCATACTTACTTTATTAAAATGAGTGAGTGTGCAGCACAGTTTCCTTCTAAGTATTAAAGTGTATTCTTTGCCTCCCAGATCGTACACACATATTAATCTTTCTAACATTTTGTTAACACTGTTAACGTCACCTCCACTTTAGCGATTCAACAAACATCTTTAAAAAAGACAAAAAACTCAGTAGTACATGAATCATATCTAATCCTTCTTTTCGAGTCTCATACAGACACATTCGACGTGTTTCAGGGCAGCGTGCTGCCTCACAAAAGTCATTGCTTATTCATATGCTCAAACCTCTTTGTTTACCAGTACGAGGCTGTTGGTTGGTGCGCTTCACAAGTGGTATCAAAAACAAAAAAGTAAAGAAAAGGTGAAACTTTCCTAAGTTGGTTAAGGTGCCCTTCAGCACACTGCTAAATGCCAAATGCATGTGTGGAGCTGGTGTGAGTAAGCAGGAGACTGTAGATGCAGGGTGCCGGAGGAGAGCATCAGGGGTGCTCAGTCATATTTCCCTGGTTAACTAAAGCTCGAGAAGCCTGGTTATTGCACTCGTAAACAAGTTTGCAGTTAATAATTTGGATCTTTTTAACAGTACAAACAGGACACATGAAGCCACATTGTGTGGATGCGAGGCATTATTGAAAATGCACAGAGACAGAGAGCGGGGGCTCTCAGAGGGAAAACAGACACTTGAAAATGAGGTTCTCAGCTTACAATAGGATCTCTCAAGCTGCAGAAAGCAGATAGTGGTACAGTAGGTGAGAAGAATGATTATTAAGCTGATTAAAAGGAGCGTGGTGCTGCTAATTGCTCCCGTAATGTTCTCAGCACTGTACTGCTGGATAAGACTTGTCTCCCCTGAGACACTGCAGGGATGGGAACACACAGTCAGCCTCTCTCCCCACACGCACACGCACACGCACACACGCACACACACACACACACACGCACAGCACTTGATATGCAGCATCGACGGATTCAGTGCTTCCTTGATCCTTCCCCGGAGAGCCCAGTTCATCTGTGATGAGCTGCAGAGATAAGGAGCGGATCTGTGTATCTGGGTAAAATAGAGTGGGGCATGACACCTTTAATGCCTTTTTTTAATGCCCAGTCAAATCCACACATGCAATAAAGAAGGGAAGATGGTAACACTTTGTGCATATTTTGAATATCGTTGGCCTGTTCTGCATCGCTGTTTGAAAGGAAAAAGTCTCACGATTCCAGTGCAGCAGCAGTCATAGTTCCTCAGGTTGTACTGTGTAGACAGCAAAATTATAGCTTCTTACCTTTTCTCTCTTCTACGGTGGCACATGATGAAATCACTCTGCTGCACAGTAGTTTCATTCTAAGAGCCAAAAATGAACATGCTTCCAGTAAAACAATACAATAAATCTTAATGGCTTAAGTTTGTGGCATATTGATGAACATGGATGTTGTGTTTTGATGCTGAAATCAGTTCACTTCCCCTGTAACAAACACAAAAATACCACATAATAGTAGAGCTAGACTATCCGTGGACAAGCCCCTGCGCTCTGTTTCTTCTGTTCAGGTGTTAAATTCAAATGATCCGGAAAAGTGTTCCAACACCTTCAGTTATTGAGTAATGAAATCTGATTGGCAGGTTAATGCATACTACCATTCAATGTGCTGAAGCCTGGCACTGCTTCCGGTGAGGGCCTGGAGGTACCTGCTCAGTAATAAGAAGATAATGACATCCCATAGCCTGCTTACACCTTCCAGACGTCCCTTTTCCCTTCTCATCCCTGTGATGCGTTCATGGTGCATACGTAAAGGTGCAGTCGCAGTACTTATGAGACAAAAGTTCCAGACCACTTCAAATACAACTTTTCAAACTGCTCAAAACGTAACACCAAACATACAGACTGTTCACAAAATATATCTGAGCTAAATGTAAAGTTGCTCCTTCCCAAGGAGAGAAAAAAACCCCACTTTAATTGCAGCACTAAAAGAGCGAAAGGAGAGGAAGACTGTTATGTTTAAAAGAAGCATTGCTGAATAAGGCTACGTTCACACTGCAGGTCTTAATGCTCAAATCCAATTTTTTTGTCTGCTCGTTCACACTACAAATAAAATGCGACAGCAAACGCACTCTAGTGTGAACGCTCAAAGCGGCCGCATGTGCAAAAGAAGACGTCACACACAACGCGCTCTGTTTAGACCCAGAGCAAACAATATTGTTTGACTGATGGCCCTTAATATAAAGACTTCGGACTTCATGTTTCCCAATTTTTGCTTTAAGTTATTTTGTTATTTACATAATAATGTGAATAACCTAATAATGATCCTTAATGCTGTTTTAGAGAGGAGCGGTGCTTCAAAGGATAGTTGCAGATTTCTGTCAGAATCTGCAGATTATGCAGTACAAAGAAAATGTTCACGTTTCTCCAACGTTGTCTTCCCAACAGTTTCACTAACATCTACACTGGATGGCCAGGAAGCGTTCACGATGTCTTCTCCGGAGCTGATAATTGGCGTCTGTCTTGTGTCAGTGACGTAAAAGACGGATTTAATGCGACATGACCGTCGCATTAAAACAGCAGTCGCTTTCTAAAACATCGGATATGTATCAGATTCAGTACCACATAGGAAAGTGACCCAGATTGGATTTGAAAATATCGGATTTGTAACGTTTACACTGTCATACCATGATTGGATATGGGTCGTATAGGGTCAAAAAAAATCGGATTTGATGCGCTTTCGCCTGCAGTGTGAACGTAGCCTTAGTGAATACGTCCTCATTTCTTTTAGTTTTTAAATCAGATATAGTCTAAGTATACTTAGACTATATCTGATTATACCTAGTATACTAATTATACATATAAGTATTAGTGTAATACTGTAAATATACTAATTTTGTGTTATTAAAAGGTGTGTGGAAATACCAAGCCGTTAGTGCAGGTCAGCTGGTTAGTTTGCATGTCTTTTATCCCGTCTTTCTTCTCTCACCCCAACCAGTCACAGCAGATGGCCCCGCCCCTCCCTGAGCCTGGTTCTGCTGGAGGTTTCTTCCTGTTAAAAGGGAGTTTTTCCTTCCCACTGTCACCAAAGTGCTTGCTCATAGGGGTTCATATGACTGTTGGGTTTTTCTCTGTATGTATTATTGTAGGGTCTACCTTACAATATAGAGCACCTTGAGGCGACTGATGTTGTGATTTGGCGCTGTATAAATAAAACTGAATTGAATTGAATTATGCAGTATTGGGATAAAAATTTATAGTGATGGACTGTTGGAGTGGGTACTAGGGTACTGTTACTGGGTGACGTCAAACCTAGCAGGAATTTATATTTATGATAATGATGCTGATTAGACTCACTCACTGAATTATTCATTTTATACTAGTTTTATAGTTTCTAGGGGTTGGAAATCAGCCATGTAGCATGCATAACATCTGCTTATATCATGTGGAATTCATTTGGCCAAATCCACAAAGAGCAGTGAATAAGAAAAAAGACTGGAGCTAAAAAAAAATCATTATGTGGCTTATTTCTAAAAACCTATTTCCAAGTAATTAATTCTTCACAAGATTAAGAATAAGTACATTTTCATAATGTAAGTAAAAACAGATACAAGTGGCCTTAAGTGCAGTGTAGACAGCTTTAGCCAGCTGTGCAGCCATCACAGCAGTCACTGTCTTTATTACTGTACTATTGCAGGAAACTGCTATAGGATTGCCATACCAGATATCTGCCATGGTAGCATGGTTACCCTTTTATTAGGAATTGCAGACATTTCAGTTTAAGACAGGCTCCTTTCTGCTTAACACTGCAGTTAGGAGCTGTTTAAACAAGTAGCCCCTAAGACAGAAAGGACATTCTGTTGCCTTATGTGCAAAAATATAACTGCTTGTGTATACTTGAATGACATCATGTCCTCATGTACTGTATGTTTATACAAGCCTGCTACATCCACACACACACACATACAAACATTGAACACCTGATCAATGGTTCTGGGTGAATATTTGACCAGATCTTTTGTCCAACCGCTATGAACTGTTTGGTTAGGTTTTTCACTGCGCCCGATGTTCTTGTCTGTTCTCATTTATATTGTTTACTTAGTTAAATACAACTTTATAACTCAACAGGGTATTTGAAGCACCTGAAACTAATGTAGTCACATTTACTGCCAGTTATGTACGTTTCCTGAAAAGGCTAAAAACAGGGGGAACAATCCTTTGTTTGAGGGTGAGGAATATTTTCTAGATTTGACATCCTCTAATCCTTCTGGGAGTTTTTTTTTCAGGCTGTGGCGCATCACTGCAGCAAAATCAAAATATGAAAGAGGTAGAATTTGTGACACGAGTATCTGAGAGAAACAACAGAAAACACAGAAGAAAACATTTGCTGGAGGCATGGATTAAATCAACTAAAGGGGCTGTCATTTCCTTGATCCGTGAGCCTTTAAAACCCCTCCAGGTGACTCTGATTGCAAATTCAATTCACCCTTTTAACTCCCTTCATCACGACTGTTAACCTTCACATGCGTGGACACCTGCTAAAACAAAAGAGTGACATTGCAGTAGGAGTTGTGGATGACTGACTGCCATTGCCTTCAGCTTTATGTGACAAATTTATTACTGAGAAAGGTCACGGGGCTGAAATCCTAACAAAGGAAAATGTGCAGTCAAATGTGACCTGACTGCTTCTACAATTTATTTCAAGTTAGAATGATCAGATCCAGGGGAGTGTCCTCTGTAAACAGCATTTTAAGGATGAATGAGAATTCAATTTCCCTTTTTTTTTTTTTTTTTTTTTTTTTTTTTTTTTTTTTAAATTAGGGCAGGGTGTTTACTTTGGTTGTGTAGATATTTTGACCCTGTGCTCCAGATCTCTTCTGAGGTTAATTCACATATTTTGATAGTTACACTGCAAGAATACAAGAGACAGTCTTGACTGACACCTCTTTCAATTAACGCTGAATGTTACTGAGCCGAAGGAGGATAACTTCTTTGCTGAAGTGTGGCAGTCTCAGTATTTAGCCCTGCCTGGCAGCAGGAAGATGGATTAAACGAGGAATTTAGAGGGGAAGTGACATCCAGAAACACCTGGGCCAAACCGTCTTTGCAAACAAACCTCTTTGCCAGGACATGGAAGGACAGCCAGCATGAGACTAAACTACTCTGCTACCTGCAGAAAATGGTCACTTTATACTTTCAGATGCTCAAGTCCAAATGTTTGCAGCTCTGCACTGATTTTCAGTAAATAAATGCATTTTAAAAAATTTTATGTGAAGATTAAATTCACCTTCAACACTAGCATTAGTTTTTTTTTTTTATTACAAATACCATTTATTTAAAATATTATCAAACTAAGATAACAAAAAGCAGTTATTTCTGCTTTGCTTCCAACCTACTGTGGAAACTGTTGCTGGCAGAAAACATCCTCCTTAGATAAAAAGAAGACGTTACAGTTTAAAGAAGGCTTTACTAACTTTTTACATTTATTTTCAGGTATGTGTCTCAGAGGTATCATACCCAAGTGGGTTTCGCCTCACATCAAAAACTGTCCATTTCAGGCTGCAGTTATATATTAAAAGTGTCAGGACCAAACTCCCCTGCGATTAACTCTGGCTGCTCTGCCTGCATGTTTGACTGACAGGCATCACCCAGGAGATGATCAACGAGACGCGAGCGTCGACGGAGAGGAAGATGATAGGAGACATTCAGGAACTGCTGAGTCAAGGAGAAAAGGTCAACCAGCAGGACTCTCAGGGAGCTACTCTGGTAAGTTTATCTGCTTTGATTTTCTTCTAAAAATCTCAACTAAACTCAGTTTAAAACGGCATCACTGAAGTTCTTGCTGCTTTAATATTGTAAACATTTAATTCCTTTTATGTGGAACAGAATGCGCTCGCTTAAAATGATAAAATTGGTTGCATGTACTGCATAAATACACTTAGATTAATGTAAAATGTGATGTAAAGTGGCAGATTTATGTGCTCAGGTTACTCAGTGATGGTGCACTAATTTGGCAAAGCTAAGCTCTGTGTGTGGTGTTAATAGGCAGCTAATGCAGCTGCCTTTCTGTAGCTGCTCCACAATACATTGTCTGAGATATAATTGACTGTGGCTTTAAATTAGCTACAAGTGTTTTGTTACTGCGGGTAGCTTTTGTTAGAGTAGTCTGCCATAGATGAGGGTAGAAATTGTCTTGAGAGGTTAAAATCTTCACTGTGATATCATCTGGACGACAGCCACTGCTTTTGCTCTTCAGACAAAATGTTTTTATATTATTAAAAAAGGGAAAGCAGATATTAAGATTGCTACATTCAAAGATTAGGAAAGATTAGCAGGGTGGACATATGCATGCATTGCAGCCATGCAGTTAGTGTGTTGCCATATCACTGCTTTAATTGTCTGTACGCTCTGGAGGCTTCTTCCATTGGTGAATCACCCGGAGGTTTCTAATATTGGGGTTTAAGCCTTTTCTTGCTATTTTTGTTGTGTTATCTAAGCAAACAAATCTTGGTGCAATAAAGAGGAAATGATTTTAATATTATTTCCTGGGCTGAAGCCATTTTTTCCATGTAAGCTTGTTAAAGTGGTCCTATTGTGCTCATTTGTGGCTCCATATTTCTACCCTTGGATTCTGCAAGAGTAGTTTTGGATGATACACATTTATAAAATTCATCTGATTCATCTTACACTGGGACTTGGTGCAGCGCCTCAGTTTATCCACTGTCTGAGGAAAGAAAAACGATGTTGTAGCACACTTTAAAGCAACTTTCTTCTGTTCAGATGTTTGCTTCCCTCTCATCTTCCCCTCCTTTCTTCTGTTTCTCATATAAACAGAAGATCTGCATAGCAAATGAGCAGATGAATAGACTGCAAAGCAAGTTCAACATGCCAAGCTGGCTTGACAAAACCCAAACCCTCAGTCGGGATCAACTTTCTCTGTTAACCCAAGCTGCTTCCTTCTTCAGAATCCGTGCAGGCTCACGGAAAAGTTGGTGTTTACACATCATTTCACTCTTCAGAGCTAAATGGCTCAAGTGAGCATTATCTACTCTAATCAGAAATATTATCAGATGAACAGAAGATGGAGAGCTATAAAGAACATAAAAAATATATCAGTAAAATGCAACCGTGTTGCTGCAAAGAAGACGAGAGAAAATTATATACATAATGTATTTTAATGCTCGGCCCGGTGTTGATACTGCTGTTTGTTTCTAAAATGAACTGTACATTAGAGCTGGGAAACCTTTTACACGTTTAAATACTGAAAATTATTCATTGTGTTCAGGTCTGAGATTCTCCCTTAGCATAATAAAGGAGACATGGAAATCATTTTAGTTTAGTCAGCAATGAAATTATTTTTATTGACTGAATGAGTATTCAGTATGTAATTAATGGATTTTGTTTTTCATTTTTCTTGTAGCTGTAATTCCAGCAGCTATAAAAGAGGCTCAGCAGCAGATTAGCACCAAGAACATAAACACATTTTCTGCATCACAAACTGAAAGTAGCCAAATTTCAGCAGTGCTTCTTTCATGCGTTAGTAAGGTGTGGCTCAACAGTTTGTATGTATAAAATATTAGACAGAGAGAGCAGAGCCACCATCATGACACTGGAAAACTCTTGACTTTAAGCTCAACACAGCTTGCTGTCCCCCCATAGTTACCCTTAGGGCTTCTTGGCTCACACATAGACCTGTGTGGCGGAGATGACCATGTTGGGGATATGCGTTTTTATTAACATCACAGCCAGTAGAAAAAAGCTGTCTGAATTGGCTCATTTAAAGCAGTCTGCGTGAAGCCTGAGCTGCTGGCTCATAGGGATTATTTGGATATATACTGACCTCATTACTGGAAACTTTGATCTTCTTTAATATTACGTATGATAGGAAATGAAGAAAAAGCATTTGAAAAGGAAGCAGTTAGAAATAAAATAAGATAAGAGAGCTAAACATGAAATGAACCCTCCTACCCACCAGGTTCCAGATGTGCTGCAGAGAGACAAACCTCTCGCGTTAATATCAGGCGTCACAGGTCTGAACAAAGAGGGGGAAAAAAGCAAATGGTGTGTAAATATTCAGTGGACCGTCTTTATTACAGATTCACCTTTTAAAGATCATGTGCTCTGCAACACTGTCTCGCGAGGGCGTAAAACCTCCAAAGCTAATCAGGCATTTAGAGCCTCATTATAATTTTTTAAAGACAAATCAGCTGTATGATTTTAAATGGTCTGAGTGCTCCAGTTATGAATGCTCAGGATACCTGCAGTCATTATTTAAACAAATGTTAGATTACAGTAAACCTGTAGTGATGATAAAATTGCATGTAAGAGGAGCGGGAAGAGATGACAAGAAACATAAAAGCAGCATTTCATCAAAGAAAACATGGTCAGATTGGATATTTGGTTTTCAGTAGCGTGTGTGCTCCTGTTGGCCTTTTGTGTGCGTTTTATGCCAACCCCTAAAGTTTATAAGTTTGATGCATAAGTGTGATTAGAGCGATTTAAGTAGACAAGAGAATGAAAACTAATAAAGGCCCTCATGTCTTTATGCTTTGCTGCATAGTGCAAAGGTACGCGAGGATTGTGTGTACCTAATAAGTCCCTAAATTTGTTTTGTTTAGCACTTTAGTACAGTGATGCAATAAAAGTCAAGCAAGGTACAAAAAAAATCATTAGCACATAATTTACTGAGTAGAGCATATAATGTCAGATGCCTTAATGAAGTCTTTATTATGTATTAGGGATTTAGCTACACGGGGGAAACACAGTGACGGATCACTGGATGGAAGTAGCTAGGGGATAGTAGTATCCCAAAATAACCCCGTTAAGCTTTAAAGTCTTACTACAGATTGTGTGATTGAGCTGCTTGTCCCTTTGCTTTCTACATCCTGTTAATCTTCATTCGAGCACGATGAAGCAAACTAGAGCATGCCTTATTAAAATCCCTGGCACAGATGAGAGGAAGAGACCCTGAACTGACAGGAAGTTATGTAAGGTTAATCTTTTGTTTTCCAGTGAAATGCATTTTTATGATCCTGTTTTGATGTGCAGGCACAATGATTTGTATGCTTTGTGACTTCAGACAGAAGTCACAAAGCAAGAGAAATATTTTTCATTTTTGTTGGAAGTCTATTAAAAAAAAAGTGTAAACAAAGTAAGGAAAAGTAACAAGTGTCACATGTTGTTCTCTGTGCCATAAACCTGACGAAGGACACATAAACACAAAGTTTATATATAAAAATACACTCACTGGACACACCTCCTTATATCTTTAGAAGTGCCTTAATTCTTCCTTGTGTAGATTTAGCTGGAAATGTTTCTCTGTGGTTTGGTTGTGGATGGATTGATGTCTGGTGACTGTGCAGGCCATTTGAAGACAGTGAGCTCATTGTTATGCTTAAGAAACCAGTTTGAGATGGTTTGAGCTTTGTATCCTGCTGGGGGAAGCCATCAGAAGATGGGTATGCTGTGGTCATAAAGAGATGGATATGGTCAGCAGCAATACTTGGGCAGGCTGCTGCATATAAATGATGCTTAATTGGTAGTAATGGGTGGCCTAGAGTGTTCCAAAAAATATATCCCCCATATCATTACATCACCACCACCAGCCTGAACTATATACTATAATGCTGTTCTACTATATAATAGAAGCCAGGATGGATCCGTGCGTTCATGTTGCTTAAATTCTGGCCCTAACATCGCAATGTTACAGCAGAAATTGAGACTCATCAGACCAGTGGATGTTTTTCCCAATTTGCTTTTGTCCAGTTTTGGACCAGAGTGTTCAGAGGTGATCTTCTGCATACCTTGGTTGTAATGAGTGCTTAATTGAGTTATTCTTGCCTTCATCACCTCGAAGGAGTCTAGCCATTCTCCTCTGACCTCTCACATCGATGAGTCATTTTCACCCAGAGAACTCACTTTTCACTTTTACAGATCATTCTCTGTAAACCCCAGTGACAGTTGTGAGGGAAAATCCCAGTAGATGAGCAGTTTCTTAAGTGCACCACGTTGGCGCCTGCCTCCTAACTTATGGGTCTATTATTGCAGTCCTCTCTTTTCAATTACTGTCATCTCAGGTTTTGTTTATTTTTAAGAAAACTATAGTTTTAGCCTTGTGAAGGAGAATGAGTGAGGCGAGTGAAGTTTCACATGTACACAAAGCATTTCAGACTGGAAATAACAAGTGAAACGCATTGTTAAGTTAAGATATGGCGATGGAGGTTATTTCAGTCCTTTAATCACACATTTAGCTGCATGTCGTTAGATTGTGGGTGAAAACGGAAGACAAGAGAGTACTTGTCCCGGCATGCGTTTGACCAGTGGAAGGGTAAATCAGGACATGCTGCTGGTGGCACTGTGGGAGGAACTGGAGTGCTCACAGTATGCTGACATTATGAAACTTTTGGCACGGTGACACAGGCAGTGTTGCCCAGTGTCGGTCCACCGGTTTGTTTCGGAACGAAAATCTCAGCAAAGACTCTGATGGTCCCCCGGCTTAACCTGTACTGTCAGCATGAGGTTGACATTTCTGGTTTTGAGTGAAACGTCTCAGTAAGCCGGACAGACTGTTATTAGATCAAGTTTAGATGTTTTCAGCGGCTTTTTGTCCAGTCCCGCCAAAAGGTCAGATTTGTCATTTGGCTAATGCTAATGATCTTTTCATTTGCCTCAGGTTTGTCCTATTATTACTTGTCGTCCTCAGCCTCATCTGACACTGACTTAGATGAGGAAGTTTGTCCTTAATGAGGAGGCTGTCTTTTAGTTTTGATCAATGTAACCACTCTTTGATGGGATGCACCGGTACATTGGTTTACAATTACAGTGATGTTTTCTGTTAAACTCATGTGTTCCTTAGTTGTATTTTTATGGCATGTTAGACAACTTTAGCTTGTTTCCTTTAGCTAATTCTGCATGTCTCACGGCCTTTAGATGCCTATAAAGGAACGCTGGGATTCGATATTCGGTCTTCTGGAATGCTGATGGCATTTTCCAAAAGATAGACTGGTGAATAGATGGTGCTTTCTGTTATCCCAAACATAACCTACTTCTGCGGTCTCACCAAAAGAGGCAAACAGCATTAAGTACAGTTCCTGTAAGTGACACTTGAAGCTGCAAACCAGACTTTCATGAATGTCACACCACTTGCCAACTTCCCTGTTGCAATAAACATATTTTATACCAGTTTGTTATTGTTCAACCTCACAGCCACAGTTTGTGTGGGGCTTTAGAAATTGGCAGAATGAAAGGCCAAGTGCTGCCATCATATTTTTCTTTTTCAGGCATTCAGTAATTTGAAGGCCAGGAAAGGAAAATATTCAAAGGAGGTTCCAATAAAAACTGAAATTAACAATTTTCAGTTTGGTGATTTAAAAAAGCAAAATGAAAAAATGAAAAAAAGATTTTTGCTTTTGTTTCCTCCTAAAACAACATTTTGAGGTTGTTGAAAGCATATTCTACTCTGAGAACCTTTGAGACACTCAAATATTCTGCTACTTCTCTTTTAAATGTATAAAGTGGAGCTGAATTAGGTCATTATTTAGTTGCTATTTCTTATAAGCAAAATGCTGAAAAAGACTTGGTGTAAAAACTTGATGATTCTGTCAGAGTAATTATACTTTGCATTTTTTCATTATTTCTCTTTTCTCATCTGATCTCTGGCTCTTTGTTAGATTGGTTTTCTACTTATGTATCTAATAGGACCGTCTCTGTTAGGATGAACTCTAACATCGCTTCCTTAACCTGTGGAGTTCCACAAGGTTCAGTTCTGGGTCCCTTATTATTTTTCTATCTATGTTGTTTCTTCATCTGCCATCATTCATCCTTTTCTGCCATTTCTATGCCATTGACATTAAGCTGCATATGTATTTTAAACCTCACCAGCTGAACAGGCTGTCAACCCTGGACCACTGTTTAACCCAGATTAATGGCCGTCTAGCCATTACCTTCTTCTAAACATCAACTGAGAACACAATTATAGCTCCTCCTGAACCTTTTGCTTCTTTAGGTTCAGAGTTTGGGATGTCTGATTATAGTCTGGGCTTTGATTCACCTGTAAAATGTATTTCTTGTTCCTGTTACCTTTTATTTAAAGAAGATTTCTAAATTACGATATATGGTCTCCTTTGCTGAACTGGAGGAAATTGTTGATGCTTGTGTGTTATCGTGCTTAGGTTGCTGTAAAGCCCTTTTATAGATAAATCATCTGTTTTATGCCTCTAAGCAATAAAAAAGTTGTTGTTTTTTTTGGGGGGGTTTTTTGTGTCCCGTTTGGATCTTTAGCCGTCAGAATTGTTGTCTTAAGGCCAAGAAAGATGCCAAGCGGATTTATTTTACCAAGTGGATCATCATGGCCTTGCCATATTGGTCCATTTGATTAAAAGTTATTTTTAACAAAATGTTGCTATTAAAATATTCTAGTTGGCGAGCTCACATTAATTTTTACACGGGTCCCAGTAAATAGCCAGGCTTCAAATTATTTATCCCAGCTTCACACTAATCACACTGAGGCTCACAATCTTCGATGACAGGCTCTGAATTTGTTAGTTGTTCCTTGGAAGATGAAAAGACTTCTGGGACAGAGCCCTTCAGTCTGTTGAGACTTTTATTGATTAGAACTTTTGAAACTACCTGTTTACTTTATTATTAAACATTGTTTTTATTATTGGGGAGCACGGTGGTGCAGGGGTTAGCGCACTGTTGGCTCAGTGGAGTTTGACTCCACCAACTGGTTAGAGCCTTTCTGTGTGGTGTGTGCATGTTGTTCCCGTGTTTGCGTGGGTTACTTTAATCATGTTTGTTTTCAGTTTAGTTTCAGGTTTAGGTTTCGTTGTCTGAAAATGGTAAATTAGTTTCAGTTCGTTTTTTTTCTTTACAGTATGTTGGATAGGTCTCTCGGGCAAGATTACAAATTCCCTCTGAGTGATGACATGTTCCAGGCTAGTTTTATGAGGCTAGGACAAGAATTAATATCTTAACATTAACAGATTAGGTTGTTTCATGGAGGCAGGCTCAGCCTAATTTGATCAGGACCTTGAATTGACCACAATAATCTACATCTAATTTAACATAATATTAGAAGATGCACAGCAATAAACTGACATCTTTAAACTTAGAAGCAAAAAAATACTTTATTTGTAGATTTTTGCAGGTGTAATGTCTCACATAGTAAGCAATTGTAAGTTACCACTATATAACGTTCTTTGGCATGTTCATTGCCACTTTAGTATGAATTTCACATTATTTTTTTTGCATGCAAACAGTAAATCCTGAGCACTGGGGGAAAACAATCTATTTCCTTCTCTGTTGTTGCAGCTACACATCGCAGCAGCAAATGGCTACGCGCAGGCTGCAGAGCTGCTGCTGGAGGGGGGGGCTCGTGTGGACCTCAGAGATTCAGATGGATGGCAGCCTCTTCATGCTGCAGCGTGCTGGGGTCAGGTAAGGAAAACACAACAGGAAAGAGATAAGAGCCTCAGGCGCACACAAAGGTTTCTGGAACCATTAATACAAATTGCTTCCACTGTTGTTGTTGTTGTTGCTGCTTTAGATGCATGTGGCAGAGCTGCTGGTGTCTCACGGAGCCAGTCTCAATGCCAAGACCTTCCTGGAGGAGACTCCAATTGGTATGTTTACAGTATACTGTAGCACTCACTTGTCCGGTGCACCTGGTAATGAGTTCAGGGGAAAAAAAGTATCGTCTCAGCAGGGTCTCATTTCCAAGTGTTCACTTTTATGTTAAGCATTACTAACAGTGTCCCTTTTACCCATGTTGCTTTAAGATCTGTGTGAGGACGAGGAGTTCAGAGCCATCCTGCTGGACCTGAAACACAAACACGACATTATCATGAAGTCACAGCTCAAGCACAAGACCTCGCTGTGCAGGCGAACGTCCAGTGCAGGCAGTCGTGGGTATGTGCTGACATCTGTTGGTGGTAGCATGGCTACTACAGGCTTTGTTATTTGGAGAAATTAGAAAACAGACAAAACATCTGTTCTGTATACTTACAGCTGTATTTACATTTAATAGGAGAATGGTGGATAGAAGCCTCCGCTGATATAATGACATAATGTCTGACATAATGAAGCTGTCAGTTTAGCGTGTGTATAAGTTCTTCTGCTCTTTAACTTTCATGTGTAAAAGTACCATATATGGTAAGCTGTTATTTTTCTAGCTGCTTTTTCTTACTGGGAATTCCACTTGTGTTCACAGAAAAGTGGTGCGGCGAGCCAGTTTGTCGGACAGACACAACCTGTGTCGTAAAGAGTACGAGACCGAGGCCATCGTGTGGAGGAAAGAAAAGGAAGACGAGGACGAGAAAGAAAAGGAGTCTGATCAGGAGAATAGCCAAGTAGTTAGTGTGAGACTATTTTTAAGGATTACATAAATAGCTCTATGCAGTTCTAACTTTGGTTTTTTGGGTGGGTGGGGGGTGGCTTGGTGGAATTTACCGCCCCCTCACACACACGCTGTCAGATGATAATGTGTGTGAGAGATATTTTTAAGCACAGGTAGAAAGATGATTCTTCCCACTCAGAAGCTGAAATGTCACATTTGGATGAATCAGACAGAGGACTTCCTCCAGCACCCAGGAGCAATTGCACAAAAGGAAACCCACAACAGAAAAAAACTGAAATACTGTCTTCCATTATCAGTAGACTCTGTTGCCGCCGCCGCTGCTTATTGTAACCTCAACTTTTTACACACATTATCTGCAGATTATCAGATGACATTCAGAGAAATGTTGCTCTGGCACAAAATAACTCTGAACAGTTGGGAGATTTTCTCTATAATGAAGGAAATAAATTGGCTTTACATCTGATTTCATTTGAACTTTGTAAGCCTCGGCAGCAGATCAAAGTTTGCTGATCTGCCCTGCACAGTCAGGCCTTTGTGTATTTAATGAGCTAAAAGAAAGTCTTACAGAGGATTAAAGTAATCCTTATTGATGTCTTGCAGGTCAAGCCTGTTGTCGCTGTGGAGCTGCCCGACAAGTCCAACCTACCCACCATCCTCAAAGAAGGCAACAGCAAGCAGAATGGCCTAATCTCCACGACAACATCCATGCCACCTCAGCCTCCCTCCAATGGCAGCACACCGACGTCCAGTAAGGGTGGGGTTGTCACCACCCAGCCGTCCCAGGAGGAAGCCTGGCCAAAAGAGCGCCCTCAGACTCTGTCAGAGCTGAAAAAGCAGCGAGCTGCTGCCAAGCTCTTGAACCACCCCTTGTTCAACGGTCACCTTGGTAACGGCTCCACAGACTCCTTCACTGATGCCAAAACCACCACTGAGGATCCTCGCATGCCGCTGGTCTCCTCCAATGGCAACGCCGTATATTATACCCCAGCCAGCGGCGACCCACCCCTGCTCAAATTCAAGCAGCCTATGGAGGAGGAGCAGCCGAAGGTGCGGACCTGCTGCTGCGTGTCATAGTTGGTGCGCGGTCATGTGACTGTTACCAGAACAGGAAGTGTTTGCACTGAGAGGAGGGAAGCAAGGAAGGCTGTGTAGAAGGGAGGAGAAGAAAGAAGGAAAGTCTTTGAACATCCTTCACCACTCCCGGTTCAAAAATGTCTTCAAGACAGGCGGCCCGATTAAAGTATGAAAACATTTCCTTTCACCTCCCAGTCTCGTAACTCCTTTAAAGTGCAGCTGAGAAGTGGAGGAAATTCCTTTCATACATGGAGTCTCTTTACACAACAAATGTAAAGACAAGAAGTGGTCCCGCTCTCCCTGTTAAAAATCAAAGAGGATGGGGAGTGTTTTTTGACAGAAATTTAGAATTAGGAGAGAAGATCGCAAGGTACTGAATCCTCTACTTTCACACATGGAAGAAACTTTGTCTGTTACCCCACAAACAGATTGGTATTATTTCATTAGAACAGCATTTCTTCCAGGATAAACTAATCTTGTTATCAAACCACATTCTTGTCATGTTCAAACAAGCAGGACAGTCATCCTGGAAGGGTGCTGATATCTTGTAATACACCGTGTTGTTGTAGTACAACACATGAGAAAATGCAAAACATGGCAAAAGGAGATCTGTGACATCTCTTTCCGTGTTGACATGCTGCCTGGAAAAGTAAGGGAAAGGAATGCCATAAAACAGTGTTAAAATACTCATGAAGTGTACTTCTACAGTGAGAGATAACCGGAAAGAGTAAAAGTACTGCACTAGTGTTTGAAACGGTCACTATATTCCGTCAACTATGCGTCACCTCACCGTCCTCTCACGTGGAACCTAAACTGACAGGTCGTGCTTTGTTTTATGCATTATTCACTTTGTGCTCACTCGTATAGATAATTTAAGCAAACATGGTTGAAAATTACTGTACGTTTTATTTATGAAATGTAAATTGTAAAAAACAAAACAAAACAAAGAAAAAACATGGTTTCTAAAGTCGAGTGTATTTATTATTTGGATGGCGTGTGGAGAGTGTGTGTGAGTTAGTGGGGGGGAGACGAATCTCCCCAGCTGAGCACCTTCTGACATGGAAGAACGGTTCAAATGAAATGAGGGTTACTGTCTGCGTTATGTACGTGTAATTAAAAAAAAAAAAAAACAGCCATCATACTGGATGGATTCATGAATATGTCACTACAAATAACAGTGTTATTTGTTTATGTTTCGTTTTTGTTTTTGTCCTGGTGGCCATTGTGTGGCTTTACTTCCCCTGAGTCACTGTATTTGTCTTCTAAACTGAAACTGTATGTTATGTAATGATTACTGTAAATGAAAAATGAGTTTTCAGAAGAATCTTTGGTATGTAGCGAGCCCAGGCTGTTATATCAGGTAATGTGTCATGCCCCCCCCCCCAAGGAAAAAAAAACCCAGTACTACATGTAGTGGTTTGTCTGCTGAATTAAATGAATATTTCATCATTTTAGAAACAGTTGATGAGAGGAGCTAGAGCCAGCAGTCAGCATATTAACACCCAGACTCTGATTTTTGCTATCAGACATTGTTGTAGTCTGAGAAATATTGAGCAGTTTGCACCTCAGCAAGCAAAGGGTCTGAGAGCAAAGCAGGAATGCACTAACGGGAATGCAGTGGCAAAACAATGAGCTATTGTTTGAAGACTTTTAAATCTCTGCAGGATTGTCAGATTGTAAATGACAGACTTCCGTAATAGGAAATCTAGACTCTGATATGTTGTCTGGATCTTTACTAGCTACACTGTCTTCAAAAACTGGTCATTGCCACACCATTAGATGATAGCTGGTGCGCTCACAGTGACACTTGTCTTAGTTTAAAACAAGCACATGCAGAACCGCTAACCACAGTGTGTCGTGAGCAGGCTTACCTAAATGCAATAAAGCCATTAACACTGCAGGCGTCCTTTTCCTGCCTTGACATGGCAGGAAAAAAGTGAAAAACATTAGTGAGACTTTGTTTTCTTCTCAGAGCAAGATGTTTCTCTTTGTTTCGAGTCTTCATGGTAAGTTAAGCCAAGTAGTTTCTATTTGTGGAGACTAAGAAGGAGTTTAGTACCAACCTTGTCATCAAACCTGCAGAAGCCAGTCAGACTACACCCGGGAATTCGAAACTATTCCTTAAATTTAACAGCTCCTTTAAATGTGTTTGTGCCAAAGAGTCTTCCATGAGTTGAAAATAATTTAGTTTGGCGGGAAGCTTTCTGATGGCCGACTTCTTTGAAAATGTGATTACCTGTAATGCCACGCCATCACCCTTCTTCCTCACCACATCAACTGTACAGCGTTCGAGTATTTGTACGGACAGGTTTGTAAATATGTTTGTATCAGTACTCCCCCTGTTATGTTCCCATGTTTTTGCATTTACATGTCTGTGTTGTTACTGTTGATGAACATATAGGAAACTACAGTTAACCATATGGGTGAATAGTGTTAGCAGACTTTTGGTTGTACAAAGGGGGGGGGGGGACGGGACTGTGCGATTAAGTAGACCCTCAAGTAGTCCCAGGAGTCCAAAATGTCTGCAGAGTCGAGCGCATACCCAGATATGGCTGAGTGTTAAGACACCAGTGTCTGTGGTGCATTTAAAGCTGAAAGACTGAACTTTTGTGCATGATTTTTCTGCAATGGTCAGTTTGTTTTTCACCTCAACTTGAGGAAGTAGAAATGAAGTCAAACAGTTTGCCATTTCCCTTATTTTAGGTACAGCGATGTCATCTTGTTATGAGGCAGCTTACTTCTGGTAGCTGCAAACAAGTTGATTTAAAAAAAAAAAGTTCAACCCTGTTTCCTTATTAATTAAATTCAATCCAACTGAACAGGAATTTGTTCAAGAAAAGTACCGACTGCTCAGTATGATGCAGAAAGGGACAGTAGCCTGTTTCAAAAGTTACTTGTGATCACATACACAGATCCAGGCTTGTGTTTAAGGATCAAATTATGAAGACAAAACTACTGATTTTGTAATTACTGGAATATATTGATGGTTACATTAACATATTTTGAATAAAATGTATATTTTGAGAACTTTACATGGTGAATCTGAATCTGTTTAGCTCTTATACTGTTACAGTTTGAGTTCAGATTTCCTGCAGGCTGTGGACATGAGAAGAAACATTTTTCGTTTTCTGTTTTTAATCACTGTAATCACAACCATTGAAAATGGGTAAATAGGTTTTGGATAGATGTCAAAAAAGCTATAATAAATAGTTCATATAGAGATGTATAATGTACAGTTGAACTGGTCACTAAACACCAAAAGCTCCATTATTTTCTTTAAAATCTGGTTCCTACAGTCGGCTCTGGATGTCTGCTGTATTTTGACATCTGCAGCGACTTTCTGTTCTGAGACCAGCAGAGACTGTGCCGTCCTTCATCTCACAGCTGTCAGGGTCTTGGCCTGAGTTCTGCTCCCTCCTTCAAAGATTTTCTTTCCTTTGTTTTTGCACTTCCTCTCATTCACTGGCTTTAGGTTCACCAGTTTATTTAGAACAGCAGTTGTTACCTAGCCTAGATTCTTCCTGTTATGAGTACTCCAACCGGCCACTTTATTATGTACACATTGCCATTATAGCACATATGTAATCAGCTACTCATACAGTAATGACTTTAGGCATGTAGACATGGTCAAGATGACCTTCTGAAGTTTAAACCAAGCATCAGAATGGGGAAGTACACAAGTCACTATGAAAGTGACTTGGTTTTTGTTGCCAGACAGGCTGATCTGACTACGGTAATTTCAGAAACTGCTGATCTACTAGGATGTTCCCACGCAACCATCTCTAGGCTTTTCAGTGAAGGATATGAAAAAGAAAAAATATCCAGTAAGCAAGAGGTTTCTGGGTGAAAATGCTGTGTTGATGTCAAAGGTCAGAGGGGAATGCAACAGTGATTTAAATTCAGATGGATCCATCCTGCCTTGTATCAGCAGCTCAGGCTGCTGATGGTGGTGTGATGCGTCTGGTCCCCCTAGTATCGAATGAGCATTTTTAAAATGCCACAGTCTGAATATTATTGTTGACCGTGTCCATCCCTTTATGACCATAGCACATCCATCATCTGCTGATGACTGCATCCAGCAAGATGGAACGGCATGTCACAAAGCTCTCATCATCTCAAACTAGCTTCTTGAACACGATGCTGTCACCGGATCTCAATCCAGTAGAGCACTTTGAGATGTGATGGAACATGAGTCGCATCATTAATGTGCAGCCGACAAATCTGCAGCAGCTGTGTGAAGAGGGCCCAAGCAGGTACTAGCACAGTGTAACTAATAAAGTGGCTGGTGAGTGTGTAAACTATTACATTAACATATATACATGCTCCTAAACTAGGCAAATTATGTAGTGTTTGTACTAATAGTTTGTTTTTCACTCCATGAGCCGCTGAGAAGGCCAATCAGTGCAAACATTTAAGTCATCTTACAGTCCTTTAAGTGTGCTAAGCAAATGTTTGCAGAAATCATTCTTTGATTTGGGCACAGTCACTATGTCGAAGGCATATAAACAGAGGTGAGGACAATGGTGCTGGAAAACGCATGATTTGGACAACATTGGCCTCCTCTGTGTTGCCTGGCTTTGCTATTGTGCCCTGGCTGTACTAACTGGAGGCCAGCTGGCTGTGGTCCAGGTCCTTCAGTCCTCTTCACTGTGGAGGGCAAAGTGGATCGGTTCCAGAAAGAGCATACAGACACATACTGACCACTCGGCTGGCCACATAAATGGAGGATGCTGATAAAAAGCACTGGGAACCAAGCAGGAATGTGGTCCATAAAGCAAGAAAATGAACCAGTGGCAGGAGCTGAATAGTCCATGGGATCAATGAAGAGGTTTTTGCACTAAAAGGAGAAAAAGTATGCAAAGGAAGGGTGGATGACAGCTTTAAAATGGGCCTCCACTGGGAGGACGCCATAGCTACTGAGCGTCCAGCCAAGACTGATAGAAGAGCTGCACAAAAAGAATGGATGGACGGAGAGACGGCTTACTGGGTCAGAACCTCTTCTTATTCCCAGGGTCCATTGGACCTAACAGGGCTTCAGTGGGTTATCTGACCTGAATTTAAAATGTCTAAGTCAATAAGTGGATGCCATTCTGTCTCAGCAATGTTGATAGATAACAGGCCGATCGAAGGCAGCAACTCATTTTCAAGCATGATGCAGCATTTCAGTACTGAAGTATCACTTTAATGATCATATAAAGCGGTTCTGAGTGATGAAACTGGGCTCTACATAAGACCTTATTGATTACTTAGATGCTTGACCACATGTGAAATGGACTGCCTTGAAATGATCAAGTGATATTCAAGGACTCCAGATGACTTTTCTTCTGGCACACCAAGGATGCTGGCATGTGCTGACATGTGAACCTTTGGATGAGCTGCCATGAAATCTTACACTTTCATTTTACTCTGAGGGCATCTGACTGTAATGAAATCTCCATTTGTTTGTTTTGACAGCAAATTCCTCCTCCGCGATCAGAGTTCACCAAA